GCCCCTGTAAACAGTCATCCGGATTCGTAACGATCCATCCGAATTTAAAATGCCATGTTAGATTATCTTTCTGTCTGAATGCAAAGTTAAGGATACATAGCAGCATTTTATTCTTCGGAAAATACTTTTACCGAATTACTTAGAAACAGCTTGTTTGAGTACGTACAGCATTAAACAATCACTAATTCATAAGCAGGTTGGCTGGAGACAGTCATAAGTACTTTCCGCATTCTGCATATGGTTTGGCGCTAACTTCGAGGGTATATTTATTCTCGTCTGCTAACTTTTCCTAACTGCCCCAAAATTAATTCTCCTAATTCTAGTCCTCCAAACCTAACAACAGCCATCTCAAGTTTAACCGTAGAAGTAGCACTGATCCTAACCCAAACGCCTGGTGAAATTTTGTGCAAAGCTGTGGCAGTCCGTTACCACGCACACTACTGAATCGCGTCTTCTCGTCCGCTTTAAGCTCCTAGTCAATTCGCTGGAGCCGCCCGCGTCTTAATGCTGTCCGGTCAAGTTGCCTCATTTCGCCGAGGGACTGTAGGCTTTAACGAACCATGGGTGTTTGAATGTGCTAAGGTCATTTTCATGCGGATTCCTGATGAGGTTGATGTAATCTTTTATTGGTAAACATGCCGCTGTTCCTTCCCATTCCCCTCGCTGACATCACCCCCCCTGTTACCGTTTCGTATCGTTCCATATCGCAGTCCTATTACTGTCAGCACCTCCATGGTCCTCATCTGCAGTTGCCCATCGGCATCTATCTGATATTTTCTGACCATCCCTCATTCCAAAGGAATCGTTTGTATATAACGTTGCCTTATTTTGGTCGGATATCCATTTTCATTCTTCAACTTACTCCTAGCGTTACAATAGTAGACTTTCCGATTCCTGCCTGATATCCCTTTTCGACTCTATAGGTGTGTGTGTGCCCGTGGTGATTAACAACCTCGTCCGATGTTACATCCGGAGACCTTTACAGGTGAATTACGCCTTTAGGTGTGTGCCAACCTCAAAGTCCTCGGCGGCTACAAGGCCACTGAGGATACGCTCTGGTGTCATGTACACCCAACAAATGCTTATTACGCACAACTGGCCTTAAGAGGTGGTTAGCGGTAACTGCTTGCTAAGTGCCCATAGAATCGAATATACCGGTTCCACGAAGCAGTTCAGAAGAAGATGCGATCACTTATTTCCTCCGTACGTGAAAAATGTATCGGAAACAGTCAACCACATACTCACCCCACTTGTAGTTGGAGTTGCGCACAGGCCAGAAGCAA